TTTCTTCCATAGGTAAGTTTATTGATTAATTTGCATAACCAACTTACTTCAAATTATGGGTTTTTATATTATACTAGCTGTTCCCGTGCGAATTCGTCTGCATAGAATTATAAAGATTCCATTTTATTGTTTACATTTGTCAATTTATCAATTGCAAATGTCAAAATGACATGACATGATATCAAACCATGGCAACCTTGCTTCCTTAATGTTGGCAGCATTTTGGTCTCTTTCCCACATTAGGGTTTTTATCCAAAATAATTATCCCTAACCTTAACGGCGTAAAAATATATAGCCTAAAGCGTGACGTAAGTGTAAGGCTTTTTATTAAAAAAAGAGTTATTGGAAAATATGTTGTGATTGCTGACATCTTAGGCAACAAAGAAGTGTGTATTTACGCTTTATTATATTAGTATAGATAATTTTTTGTTGTTGTTTAATATTACAGATATCGACTTCTATGTCTACATAAAGATGTTGACCGCACTAACATCAAAGCGACGTGTGGAAAAATATTAAAAAAACATCTAAAAGATCCCGATAAATATCAGTTTGGTGCTACTAAGATATTTTTCAGAGCAGGACAGGTTAGTTATTAAACTACTAGCTTTCGCCCGCGACTCCGTCTGTGTGTTATTAAAAAAAAGGAGGTATTGTATGTGTTCTTCCAGACTAAGTGTGTAAATTGTGCCAAATTTTAATCGAAATCCGTTCAGGCGTTTAAGGCGTTTAACTCTAATATCCATCCATCCACTATCTAAAGTTAAAAATTAGTAATATTAGTAAGATTATGTAATGTTTATTTATTAAGTATTGTCTTTCATGTTGTGGTATTAATGTTAATTTCGGCTCTACTATTTTTATTTTAATGAGAGCGTCAGTGGCTCAGTGGTTTAAGCTCTTGACTTGTAATCAGGTCTTGGGTTCGAATCGGATGTGATTTTCATATGAACATAGTATACGTTCTTATGGTGACGGAAAATGTGATGCACATATCTACAAAGAAATTCAAAGACATGTGAAGTCCCGCAGTGCATGGTTGATTGCCACCCTTAGGGTAGTTCCGAGCCTCAGTGGGGGGTATAGTAAGCTGATGATAACAATAATTTATCCGACGTCCTTACTACGAAGGAAAACGTGATGTACATATCGGCAAAGAAATCCAAAGATATGTGAAGTCAATCCGCAGTAGTATGTTGGTATGCTGCAGTCTCAGGGTAGGTCAGCCCAGTGGGGACGTATAGCGAGGTGGTGATGTTACCAGGTAGCGTACTTGGAGAAGATCCGCGCGGAGATCCAGCGGCTGTACTGCGTGCGCGTGCAGAGCTGCGTGCGGCGCTTCGTGGCGCGCCGCCGCTACCTGCGCCTGCTGGCCGCCATACGGGGCCTGCAGGCGCACGCCAGGGGGTACCTCGCCAGAAGGTCAGATTGCACCTATAGTGTTACTATGTCATTTTTTAAAAAGAAAATATGGTTATTATGACATAATTATAATGTTTTATAAAGTATTGTAGCCAAGCAAAGAGAGTTGAGTGGGTGTTGTGAGAGATAAATGGGCGGTAATTATTTCGCTATTTAAGCGAAATGTGACTGTTTTCTATGTTACTATATTTTACTTAAAAATATTAGGTTTGTGATCGAAAACGTAACATTATCTCCAAAAGAGTGAGTTGCATAGAATCTAAACATCAATGTTTTTATCATAAATTTTGAAACGGAATTGAGTTCAAAGGTTTTAATAATAATACTAGCTGATGATCGCGATTTCGTCCGCGTGGAGCTAAAAATAATGGTTTTCGCTTTTAATGGTTAAAGAGTTTTTGAAATCGGCCCAGTAGTTTGAGTTATTTCCATATATACAATTAAAAAAATACAAAAAATTTCTCTTTATAATATAAGCAGAGATTGTATTGTAATATTTTTACTATGTGATACATAGACGTGTACAAGAAGTGCGTCGTAACCGCGCGGCTATCAAGATCCAGCGCAACGTGCGCGGCTGGCTGGCGCGCCGCACGTTCCAGCGGCTGCGGCGGCTGGCCACTGGCTTGCAGGCGCACGCGCGCGGCTACCTCGCCCGCAGGCTGTACCGCGACCGGCGCAGGGTGCTCGCGGTATGATACACTATACACTAACCCTAATACTAGACTAGCTGTCGTCCGTAACTATGTAAGCACAAAAAAAACTCAAGTAGAATATTTGTTTTTCCAGACTATATATGTTTATGACTTTCAGCGGAATCCCTTGAGCAGTTCTGGAGATACGTAGTAACAAACATCCATCCATGTATCTAAATTTTCGCAATATATAATATTACTAGATGTCACCTGTGACTAGGTCCGCGCGAAACTAAAAAAAAAATTAACTTTATGTTCTTCCAGACTATGTCCTACATCTATACCGTTATGCGAGATCCGTTGAGCTATTCTGGAGAATGTAAAATATCCATCCATCTAAATATTCGCATTTCAAATATTATTTTATCCTGCTTGCAAAGGACCAATTAACCTAGTTGTAGTTTTAATTTTTTTTATTTAGTTACGTTAGATATTATTAATAGACGAAATTGTTTTTTTGTCCAATAGGTTATTACTATACAACGCTACGCGCGCGGTTATCTCGCGAGAAAACGGGTAAAGAAGATGAAGAGACAAATCGTCATAGCACAAGCCGCTGTAAGTACCTTATTACTTTTTTCTTAATAACATTATTAAGTTGGTTTATTAAGGTGGCAAACGACCAAGCAGCCACCTGAATCCGCCAAAATGGCGAAACGATCGCTGCCCGTAGACATGCGCGATCGAGGAGGAGGACGACCGACGGAGGAGGACACGCACATAAACAGGATAATGCCCCTTCCTATGCATCTCCTCCACAGTCAAATCCACTTCCCCTTCCCATCCTCTCCTTATAAGAAAAGGGTGGTAAAAAAGGTACTTAAATTACGCCTCCGGCACCACACTCATCAGATGAAACACGGCATTGGTTCCATTTGACGGCTGTCTTCTGTGTGGTCGTGGTATTACTGGGGGCGTGCCCTGCAGTGCTAAGATGTTAAAGCGGGCACTACCACTGTTAAATAATTACTATATACTTACTTCATTAAAACAATATTTCAAGTTTTATAATATTTCGTTCCTAGATCCGTCGTTTCCTAGCTCGTCGTCAGTACAAGCGGCTGCGTATCGAGGCTCGCAGTCTAGATCATGTGAAGAGTTTGAACAAGGGTCTGGAGAACAAGATCATCAGCCTGCAGCAGAGGCTGGGGGATGTGGTGGAGCGCGCCAAGTGTATAGAGCCCCTGCAAGCGCAGATTGCTGACCTCAAGTTAGTATTGTAGAATAAATGCAAGTATAAGTTGAATCAAATGGATGTAAGAAATTTATTTAGTAATGTTTTAGTTAAATTGAAATAAAGATGTAATTTTGACAGTATTTTTAAGGTAAAATTTCTTTTTTCTATTGGATTTGTCTTTATGTACGTATCGACGTTCGCGTACGTAAATAAGATACAGTATTGCGTATGAACTGCGTGCGAACTTTACTTAGCGTAATGTTTTAGTACACTTAAACTCAAGTAAATTATATACATTTATAGTTTTAAATATATACCTAATAAATACATAATGATAACTTGTTAAAGGCTTAATTTCTTACTTGACTTTATACTTTAGTAGTGTTGAAATTCTCATCTGCGGTTACATTAATTACGATACTATTTAGGGCTAAACTGGAAGCACTAAAACTAGTGGAGATCGAAGCTAAAACACTACGAGTAGGTATACATGAGAGGGACAGCCTGATAGCCTCGTTGGAGACGGAGTTGAAGTCAGAGCGAGATAGCAACAAGCGGTTGGTGGAGGAGAAGAATGAAGTTGAGAACAAATACAATAAACACAAAGATAGTTGGCTGCAGGAGAGCAATAAACTCGCTGAGGAACTTAAAACTTCGAAGGAATGCTATGAAATGGCTATTGAAGGTGAGATAATATTAATATGCAACTTATCTCTTACGACATAAGACTCAATTTTCAATGATGGGTACACAATTTTAATTCTAATCCATCTAGTCAATCTAATGTCTTTTAGGTTCTGAAGAATAACGATATAAAATTTCCAAAAATCTATATTACTAGCTGTTGCTCGCGACTCTCCACGTGAAATTTAAAATTATAGCCTATGTTATTCAGCGATAATGTAACAATAGTGAATGAATTTTTTAAATTGGCCCATTAGTAGTTTTTGAGTTCAATACATACAAAAATACAAATGTTTCCTCTTTATAATAGTATAGATTATTTACAGAATTAAGAATATATAAAAATAGTGTAAAGTGTGAGTATCGATCTGGGTCAGGGTTGTGATGTTATTTTATTTATCATCTATACTTTTAAAAGGAAATTCGTGTATTCAAATTATAACCAGTGACTCATAAACAATGATAAAATAATTACTTTTTACATGATAGTATTCACACCGAAATCTAATTCGATAAGATAAGCCACGGATAGGTAATGTTGATAACCACATTGTTTTTGATGAAAATAATTATAACGCTCGTAATTAAAGCGTATTCTATAATATGAAAACTGTTTATATATGTGTAAATTAGTTAATTTGTCATTATTAGTATTAGAAATGAGTGTTTAAAAATATGGAATTTCTCTATAAATGTGATCGTGTAAATCGTGTAACAAGTGCTATAAAATAATGGGTGCATTTCCTGAGCCGATTGTTAAGGAAGCAGAGGAAGCGACAACTAAACATGTTGATCCTACAACTTGGTCTAAAGAATTTGCCGCTAGGGCACAGTTCTGGAAAGGTATAGAGTCAAAAATACTAAATAAAACTATAGCTAGCGACAGATAGTTACTATCTGTAACTCGCGTCTTTATTCGCGGTTTTTTTTAATAAATATAGCCTATGTTACTCGTGATAACGTAGCTATTTATTTGTAAAATATTTTTTTTAAATTAATTCAGTAGTTTTCAAGTTATTTCAATACGAAAATATAAAAACTAAGAGAATACTAATAAAAATATTTTTCTCTTTGAATATAAGTATAGATAGTAACATAAATTGGGTGACTTAGTACTTAAAACTGTAGCGCTTTTACGAAAATTGATTTGAAAAAGTTGAAAGAAACTGTATTCCTAAACAATATATACATTCAAATGTACATTTAATTTTATTATTGAATAATTTCTAGATACCTCAATTACTATGTAATCCCATTATATGCCATTGATAGATAGGTCATTGTAAGAATATAATAAGAACCGTTTCCTCTTTCACGTTTTCTATAAAACCTGTTCAATTTCAGAGCAAAACAAACAGCACGAGGCGGAGAAGCGCGCGCTGTGCGCCGAGCTGGAGGCGGAGCGGCAGAGCCGGCAGAAGCTGCTCTCCTCGCAGTACGAGCTGCAGGAGAGGCTGGACACCATGCAGAGGTACACATAAACACCATGTATTACACTAACAAACATTGTTACTAATTGTTGCTCAGGACTTCGTCCCCGTAGCATTAAAAAAATAATGAAAAATATAGCCTATGTTACTCAGTTATAACGTAGTTTTTTATTGATGAAAGAATTGAAATCGACCCAGTTTTTGAGTTATTTCAATATAAAAAAAATACGTATCTTAATGTTAGTATAGATGTAGACTTGATTTCTTAAAAAAAAACACTGACTTAAAAAAAATGAGTAGCCTATGTGTTCTTCCAGACTATTCTCTACATGTGTGCCAAATTTCATCGAGATCCGTTTAACAGTTTAGGTTACAAACTCTAACAAACATCCATCCATCTAAACTTTCGCATTTATAATAGTAAGACTAGTAAGATTATTGACTTATAATCATATTTTTAATAACCAAAATGCGATACAGGGCACCAGCAACCAAAGAACACAGAAGATCGCTTTCCGACGCCAGCAATGCTTCCCAACAAGAAACTACCGTTGAAGATGTGAGTAATGTGAGAAAGTTAACATTTTAACGTTAATAATAATACTGTTTTTTACATTTTAACTTATAAATAAACATTTTTGTGTTTATTCGTGTCTAGGACTACGGGTACGGGTCTGTGCGGTCCGTGGAGACGTCGCGGCCAGCGCTGGAGGCAGTCAACTGGTCTGCTGGACAACACAATGGCCCTGCGCCCCCTGTATGTACAAGCACCTTATATGTTTTACTAACTTTAAACTTTAAAAGCCGGCAAAGCATCTGTAGTTCCTCTGGTGTTTCGGATGTACATGGGCGTCGTTGACCACATTTGTGTTCACGCCACTCGTTTGCTCCCTTCTCATATAAAAAAAAACTGTTGCTTGCGACTTCACCCGCGTGAAATTAAAAAATATATACCTATTTAGCTTCTGTAACTAACAATGTAGCTTTTTAGTGGTGAAAGAATTTTCGAAATCGGCCCAGTAGTTTTTGAGTTATTTCAATAAATACAAAAATGAAAATCTTGTCTTAATAATATTGGTATTGATTGAACTTTAATAAACGATTGACTATAATAAAGCGCGTAGGATGCCAGCAATCACAACCTTTTTTTGTATAATTCTTTTTTTAATTAAAACTCCCCACTTACGACACGCTTTAGGCTATATATTTTCAAGCTATTAAATAAATTGGAAAAAACCTGTTATGTGGAAAGGGACCAAAAACTACAAGCTGCCAACATCAAAGAAGCAAAATTACCATGGTACGATAATTGTTATCCAATCAGAGGCCTTCGTTGTCATTTGTGCATTTAAATTTTCACATTTGCAATTGAAATTTTTACAAATAAAAACAAAAAAAAAAGTTCTAATAATTTAATACAGAGGAAGCCGCACGGGAACAGCTAATCACTAATAATATGTAATGTTTGTATGCAGATTGCTGACGCTGGACTGGTGCTCCGAATGCAGAACAGAATATCAGCGTTGCAGAGCGATTTGTCTAGAACATCCAAACGTGCTAACGACTTGGAGGAACGACTTATGAGTAAGATATTTAGGGCCTGTCCCACCTCTGGCTGATAGAGGCTCAGATAGCCAACCACAATCCAATATTTCTATAATCTTCAATAATCCGATTATCTGACAATTTAAAAGAATTTGGTAGAAAAAAAAACAGTAACTTAGTAGAGGAAGCCGCGATTACAGTTAACACTTAGTGAGCATTTAATACGTTTCTGAGTAGCAATAAACTTCCAGATCGTCTATCCTCGCCGCCCAGCAACCCCAACGTGGACAGGTTCAAGGTGGAGGAGTTGGAGATCGAGAACAAGAAGTTACGCGAACACCTCGACAGGCTGCGAGCCTCCACTGACAGTGTGCTTATCTCCAAGGAAGTTATTGGTATGTGGAATTTATTAGAACGTGCTTTGACTTAACTATCACACAACCGTTGTGCGATTGTCCCTTCGCAGTCTTTAACTGTTTAAATCCCTTATGGCGAGCAACCCTGAAGGTCGTCGAGACCGAGGAAGACCAAAGTTGAGATGGGTAGACGGTGTAAATCGTGACGCAAAGAATGTTGGCATAAGAAACTGGAAATCGGTAGCCACTAACAGACCGAAGTGGAAAAAATTGCTTGACCACAAGCTAAAGCCTGCAAAGGGCTGTAGAGCTAAGGAAGAAGAAGAAGAAGAAGTCTTCAACTGTTTAGTTGCACAACTAAACATCGAGTAGTGTACCTTCGTATAAGGTCAAAGGAATCAAAGACTAAACAGTGTGCGATGGTTTAGTCAGATCAGTGCGCTCTTAATATGTAAATCTTACTACCTTACTAAACACGTGCAAAAGTTTAGAGAGATGGAGGTTAGATTTTGTAGCCTAAACTTCTGAAGGGATCAACACATAGAAGTCTGGAAGAACACATAGGCTACTTCCATTTGTCTTTTTAAATTCAACGCGGACAAAGTCGCGAGCAAAAGCTATTTGTAATACAAAATTATAGCGTTATATACTTATTTTTTCAATGTATATGGTTAAGTTTTCTTGATGGTCCTTCGAGTCGGATATTTTATGTTTTCCTTAATAATCGTTTTGTATTAATTTATTAATAAACTATTGTTTTTTAACAGATCAAATGAGTACAATGCAAAAGGAACTGGACAGGAGACGAGACGAATGTATACAGTTGAAGAGCGTTCTTACTACTCAGGTATTTATACTAATATTATAAAGAGGAATGATTTGTATTTTTGTGTATTGAAATAACTCTAAAACTACTGGACCTATTTCGAATATTCGTTTATCATAAAAATAAATTTTATCACGCGATCCAAGACGCGAGCAATAGTTAGTTTTATATAAACAGGAAAAAATCACAGTAATATTTATCTTATTTCCTCTATTTGTTGAAAGACTAGCTGTTCCTGTGCGGCTTCATCCGCATGAAATTATGTAAATTTTATTTTATTGTTGACATGTGTCAAATTACCAATAGCAAATGTCAAAATGACATGACATGACAAACCTTAGTAATCTTTCTTTCTTGATGTTGGCAGCAACTTATGGTCTCTTTCCTACATTAGGGTGTTTATCCAAAATCTTTACCCCCTAAGTTTAATGGCGTGAAAATATATAGCCTAAAGCGTGATGTAAGTGTAGGACCTTTTATTAAAATCAGAATTATTCAGAAATGTGCTGACATCTTAGGCAACAAAGAAGTGTGTGTTTACGCTTTATTATAATAGTATAGAAGTATAGATATGCTTTTATAATAGTACAAACAAAATCACTAATTACTAATCTGTTTGATATTGCTAAAAGACTGCATATTTTAATTTTTAATTATTCAGTGTAGTTAAAAATTGTAAAATGTCTGTCCAATTGTATCCAAAGCACATCAAAATGTTTTATTTAACCGAATATTATCAGTGACAAGTGATGTCCCATATCTAAGATAATGTACACAAAAATGTCCAAACAGACTGACACTAAACACGATGTCAGTGTTTCTTTGTGTTTGCGACATTCAGTTATTTCCGTCTCAAATATAAAGATACAAATAAAATATCCCATATAGTTATTTTCGTATACTTTGCTGAATTAAAAAAAAATTAAACAAAGTGCAATGTTATAAGAATTGTGTTGTTTAGTGATGAATTCAAATATATGTAAGGAAGGACAAATTGTTAAAATATTATATATGGATTTACCTGAACATAGGAATGTTTTTAATTTAATTGACAACAAAAAGGTAATTCAGGTCCAGAATATCAAAGCAGTTTACATACTTTCTAGTTAATATTATAAAGAGGAAAGATTAGAATTTTTGTATACATATAAGAAACTCAGAAACTACTGGGCCGATTTAACAAAAATCTTTTACCTTTAAAATGTTACATTTTAATTTCACGTGGACGAAGTCGTAAGCAACAGCTAGTTACTTATACGGTGACAGTTTTTTCCATCTATTTCATTATGGGAAGCCTTAATTCTTTGACTGTACATATTCATATGCCGTCACTGACCTCTATTAAATGGACAGGCTTTAATACTTGATGACTAACGGTTGCGGTTGGTAACAGTGAGAAGGTTTTCAGCTAATAATAAAGATATATTTAACTGTCAATAACATAAATAGACATGTTTAATTCGGCACAAATAGCTGCCTATCCATTATATGGAGATCATTGGCTTAGTTTCTATTATCTTGTCTTTTCTAACATAAGCAATAAAAACGCAGGATTATGCTCCACAAAAATCGTGGTTGCAAGCCGTGAAGAGCGTTGTGAGTAAAACTGCATGATCACTCGAATGCTTGTGCTTTGTCATTACAATTAGATATTAAATGGCAAAGAGATTCAACAAATATATAGAGATGGCATAGTTGACACTTCACTTGAGACATTTTTCATTTTTTTGATCCTCACTATAGATTCTCAAAACGGATTATTCCTAATCACCCAGCTCTGTTTCCACGTGGATACAGATGAGAATAAAAAGTTTCATCCGACATCTTTGCGTAGAGGGGACGGTTAGAAATTATTTTATTTCATAACAGTTATATCTGTCACCTTATTGATGATGGTGGGACTAAAAGGTGGAATGGATGAAACTTTTTATTCTCATCTGTCTCCACATGGGGATAGTACAGGGTGACGGTTGGGAATAATCCGTCAACACCACATGTCAATTTAATTAATTGTATTTATATGATTGTAAATAAGTTTCACTAAATAATATATAAATGTTTATATTTTATTTTGTGACACTTTAGTTAATAACAAAAATAGAGCTTATTATAATTTTGTAAAAATGTTTTCTAACATGTCAATAAGGACATGAGGTGGCCTAACTTTGCCTAGCATAGAAAAATGTTCACTATGTCTCCTCTATATATTTCTTGAATGTCTTTGTTTAATGGATTACGGAGAATTTAATAAATAATATGTGTATTCAATTATATTTTATGTTATATTGTTTAATAAATTAAATGTATTTTAGTTTTATGTGTAATATCAGTGTAAAGATCGTAATACTAACTTTTATTTTGTTTTTAATTTTCTTTCAATGCGTTCCTTTGCTGTCATTGCACGGTATATTTTAATTTAATATTTTTTATTACATTTTTAATTTCTTATACGTTATATCAACGATTTTATTATATTGTAATATTAAATATTAATTTGAATCTTATTTTCACAGACGGTAAATCTAAAGTCGCTTGCAACATCTAACTACGGTTCCGATGTGGACATTATCAATGAAGATGGAGAATTGGCTTCCGCATATGAAGCTCAGAAAGATATTAACAGGTAAATATATCTATACTAATACTGGTATTATAAAGAAAAAAGTTTTTTATTTACATATGTACAGAAATAACTCAAAAACTACGAAATCAGTAACATAGACTATGTTTATTTATAATTTTTTTAATTTCATGCTGGCAAAGTCGCGGGCAACAGCTAGTAAAAGCATATTGACGCAAATTACAATATACAAATTGGATACATTCTAAGTATATCAATGTAGTTGGAATCGTTTTTAATTCATTTTTCAGACAATTACAAGAAGAGTTGATTGCAGAGAAGAAATTCTATTCCGAACATATATCGAAAGCGAAAGCTGAGATAGAAAGGTTACGTGAAGAAACCGACAAGTACTCCAAGTAAGTGGTGTTTGTGTTTATGTATTTTTTATTAACTAACACAGTTGCATAACATAACATTTTAAAGTACTATATGTTTATTCAGTGTGCTCGCTTTTGTATATTGTGACGTTTTTATAGCTTGAATATTAAAATCCTAGCTTATGGGCGCAGATTCTTTAACACATCACTATAGTATGCAAAAAAAACCCATATAGACAATACTATAATTTTTCGTAATTCATTATACAAAATATCTTTAGGCACTGCTTACCTGTTACTTATATTAATATGTGATTAAAAGAATTAAAATAGTGTTCAGTCTAGTATTAAATCTTACTTCTTACTAATATTATAAATGAGAAAGTTTAGATGGATGGATGTTTGTTAGAGTTTGTAGTCTAAACGGCTGAAGGAATCTCAATGAAATTTGGCATAGATATAGAGGATAGACTGGAAGAACACAAAGGCTACTTCTTTTTTTTTAATTCCGCGCGGACGGAGTCCCGGGCGAAAGCTAGTTTAATATAAAACATTCATTCAAAATACGGAAAATAGTAATACATTTCCACATTAAGGACACATTTCACATCTCTTCCAGTGTCGATGGAGATAGTAAACAAACAATATTCTACAAAATTAGAAGACAATGGAATAGTCTAGAAAGTTCTACAGCGCGTATCATTATGTTCTCTAGTGAAAAGTTCATTCTTCATATCACATATGCCGTATTTAATATTTTATCCCTATAAATATGTTGTTTTTATGGTACTTGTACATATATAGTGTTATTGCTTTAACTGTTGCTTTATATAATTCTAATACTTGTACATTTATTTATATGTCGATTATGCTTGTTTTTTTTTAATATATCTGCATGTTATTATATTCATAAGTCATTTTTTTAACTCTCTTCAGTTCGCTTTTGATCAAATGTAGTCAATCATTAACAATTAGACAATAAAGTCCTGTAAAATAACTAAATCCACAATAAACTTAATCTTATTTAAAGAATACCGCATTTAAGAGCCAAAAACAATGTAACATGGCTCTTAATAGAGTTATAAAGCAATGTAACCTTGGCTCTTCAGCCAAAAATCATTGGAAAATAATCCGAGCTGAGTAATAATTAAATCAAAACATTATTACTGCTTTAAATAATGACAAACAAAGTTTTTTTTCAAGTCCATAAAGCTATGTAAAGGAGGCTAAGGTCTAGAGACAATGTAACCTAGGCTCTTTTAAGAACTTTTGTCCACTTAAAACACTACTATTAAAAGCCAAATAACCTCTTGAAGAAGTACAATGGGCTCCCTGCTAAGTGTAATTAAACTACAAAAAAAAATAACTGTCCTTCTTCTAAGAGCCATAAAACAATGCAACCTTTCTCTCATAGAACTATGTAGAGATGTAACCACAGCTCGTTTTAAGAGCTAAAGACAATGCAATCAAAGCTCTTGATTTGAGCTATAAAACAATATAACCATGGCTCTTTCGTAGAGCGACCAAGCAATATAACCACAGCTCTTTTCGAAACAATAAAACAATGTAACCAAGCCTCTTGATATGGGCTATAAAACAATGTAACCATTGTGTTCCCATAGAGCGACATAGCAATGTAACCTCAGCTCTTTTTGTAGCCATAGAACAATGTAACCATGATTCTTTCGTAGAGCAACAAAGCAATGTAACCGCAGCTCTTATTGAGACCATGAAACAATGAAACCGTGGCTCTTTCAGAGAGTGACTCAACAATGTAACCACAGCTCTTTTTGAAGCCATAAAACAATGTAACCATGGCGCTCGCAAAGAGTGACATAGCAATGTAGCCAAACCTCTTTTTGAAGCCATAAAACAATGTACCCACAGCTCTTAATAAGGCAATAAAACAATATAACCATGGCTCTTTCGTAGAGCTACAAAGCAATATAACCGCAGCTCTTATTGAGACCATAAAACAATGAAACCGTGGCACTCTCAAAGAGCGACATAGCAATGTAGCCAAAAACTCTTTATGACCAATAAAACAATGTAACCGAGGCTTTGTCTTAGAGCTTCATAGCAATGTAACCAAAGCTGTTTTTGAAGCCATAAAACTGTGTAACAGTGGCTCTTGATAGAACAACATAACAATGTAACCACAGCTTTTTTGGGCCATAAAACAAAGTAGTCGTGACTCTTTCGTAGAGCTAAAAAACAATGTAACTACAGCTCTTTTTAGAAACAAACAACAATGTAACCATGGCTCTTTAGACCGATGCTACATTGTAAACAGTAATGATATCTCAAAAACATTAGAAACTGGCTGTTATACTCAAAACAAGGTCTATAATGTTGCATTCATATATGTATGTTTAGAACAAAGAAGAACAAGGGTAATTTTAAATAACATACAAAACTAAAATAGCATTTATCAACTAATAATTCACAAAATAACAATACTGATGTTATTAAAAAATACTGTTAAGCTATATTTTACAAGATTTATATGTATGTTGTGTTTATGTTTTAGGTTACTAAGTGATTTGAGCCAAGAACCCAAGAATAAGAGTCTGGAATACGCCCAAAATGAGATCATACGACTAACAACTGAGTATCTTGCGTTACAGGTATACAGAATTAATTTAATTATATAACCAGTTGTTGATTGCTTTGTTCCTGTTATTTCGTATTTATGTTATATCCTAGTTACCATAAGGTACTAGAAAACTTTTGGTTCTTATGGATTTTTTCGGTGGTTTTTGATTGTTATATAAACATATAAAAATATTTGTATTTCTCTATGTATTTCTTAGGAACGTGTCGATAAACTGTCCGAGAGCTGTCGTCGGTACAAGAACCAGATCAGATTGTTGGCTAACAGACTTAAAGAGGCCGGAATTGAAGATGTCAATGATATATTAGAAGGCAATGGTATGTTTCATATTTAGAGCGTGAGTGACTAAATTATCGCACAACTGTTTAGTTTGTTTGATTTCTTAGTTGTGCAACTAAACAGTTGAAGGCTGCGAAATAATCGACAATCGCACAACGGTTGTGCGATAGTTTAGTCAAAGATGAGGGCCCGTTCTAATACTTACAATTTTAAGTTCAAAGAGATGTTACTTAAATATATATTTTTGCTAACAGTAACTCTGGTAGACACTTCAGTGGCTCAGCAGTCGATGTCAATGATAGAGATGGCGCCTGTAACGCGTAAGAAAGAGAGAGAATATCTCGGCATGTTTGAATACAAAATTCAAGACGAACCTACTATTATCAAGAAACTTATCATCGGTAAGTAAATAGTCAAAAGTAAGAAAAAAACATTGAATATATAATGTACTAGCTGTTCCAGTGCGACTTCATCCGCATGAAATTATGAAAGTTTTATTTTATTGTTTACATGTGTCAAATTATCAATTACAAATGTCAAAATGACATGACATGATGACAAACTATGGCAATCTTGTTTCCTTGATGTTGGCAGCAACTTATGGTCTCTTTCCCACATTAGGGTTTTTATCCAAAATATTTAACCCCTAAGTTTAATGGTCTTAAAATAGCCTAAAGCGTAACGTAAGTGAAGGGCTTTTTATTAAAAAAAAGAATTATTAAAAATATGCTGTAATTACTGACATCTTAGGCAACAAAGAAGTGTGTGTTAACGCTTTATTATAATAGTATAGATAAATACATCATGCTAATATAAATGCGAAAGTTTAGATGAATGGATGGATGGATGTTAGAGTTTGTAGCTTAAACGACTAAACGGATTTCGATTAAATTTGGTATAAATGTAGCAGATAGAAGAATACATTGTTTATTTTTTAATTCTACGCGGACGGAGATAGGCGAAAGCTAGTATAAAGTAAATAATACTTTATCCGCCATCTTGTAGCGGCCATCTTGGATTTACATCGCATCTAATGTCTGTACTTCCTTACAATTTAATTTCATTTACATAGATTTGAAGCCACGAGTCGCAGTGACTCTATTGCCGGGTCTACCGGCGTACATCTTGTTCATGATGCTGCGTCACATGGACCACGTGGACGACGAGCCTAAGATGCACCAGCTGATGAAGGCAGTCCGCACTGGAGTCAAGAAGACCTTGAAGAAACGTACAGACAGTGTAGAGTATAATGCACTCTGGCTGTCTAACATGTTACGGTATGTCACATCTATTTTTTAGGAGGTCTATGGTTTTTATTACAAAGTTTTAACGAGCCTGCAACTTTTGTTAAAAAATGGAAGTCATCTATCCTAATATTATAAAGACGGGAGATTTGTATTTTTGGATATTTGTATGTATTGAAATAAATAAACTACGTAACCACTGAGTGACGTAGGGATTACTTTTAACTTTTTTTTTAATTCCACGCGGACAAAGTCGCGAGCAACAGCCAGTAATCTATACTTCTGTACTATACTAATACTATAAAGAGGAAAGATTTGTATTTTTGTATCTTTTGAAATAACTCTAAAACTACTGGACCGAATTCAAAAGTTCTTTCACCATTAAAAACTACATTATCACAGAGTAAAATAGAATATGTTTTTTACTATTTTATAATCCAACGCGGACGAAGTCGCGAGCTATACCTAGTGTTTGAAAATAAAAAAAATAGCGCGTGTATTTAGAGATTATATTATAAAATCAATGTGTTTTAATTTATTTTACAGGCTGTTGAACAACCTGCGCCAGTACAGCGGCGACGCGATCTACCAGGGCTCCAACACTCCGCGGCAGAACCAGCAGTGCCTGCGCATCTTCGACCTCTCCGAGTACCGCCAGGTGCTCAGCGACATCGCCGTCTGGATCTACCAAGGTATAACATCCTGGTACTATCGCGGAAATACGCAGTGCTCAAATTTCAGAATTATTCAAATCGATCAATGAAAAATAGATTTAAAAATACCTCTAATTAAAATTATAATGGTATTTGTCCTAGATCTAGTCTAGATCTTACACTGTTTTAAGTAAAATTCGATATATTTGTGTGTCATGTGACTTTACCCTTTGTCGGCAAAATTTACATTTGTATATATCATTTCATGAAATAAACTAAACTAGGTTACAACTGCGACTCCGTCCGCGTGGCATTAAAAAAACGAAAGTAAGTTGCCATGCATCCGGATTATGCTCTACTTCTAAGATATGTCAAATTTAATCGAGATTCGTTCTGCCTTTTAAGCTACAAACTCTAACAAACATCCATCCATCACAAATTTTTACATTTGTAATATTAATAAGATAACATATTACTCTAAAGAAATGAATGTGATATATTAGTTTTTATGAGTTACTTACTAATATTTTAAATCCGAAAGATAGTATGGATTGATGTTTGTTAGAGTTTGTAGCCTAAAGTAGTGAACATATCTAGATGAACTATGGCATAGATGTAGAGCATAGTCTGGACATATAGGCAACTTACTTTTTTTTTCCACTTTGACTAACACGCGAGAGAAATCTATTTTTTCGGGTTTGGTCAAGCGCTGGTTTGTATATGTTAAAAAATATCTATTAACCCTTAAAGCGCTGGTGCATCTCCTGGAGCGTCAGCTGGAGCGGCTGATCCTGCCGGCGATCCTGGAGTACGAGGAGATCAACGTGCACTCGCGGCCCGCGCGCGCCGCGCCCGCCGCCACGCCGCCCGGCCCCGCGCGCCTCATACACGAGCTGGCCGCCGTGCGCGACCATCTGCGCACCTACAACGTCGACACCACGCTCACACTCACTATATTCAAACAGGTAACGACAAACACTCTTCATATACATTTCAAATTAAAAATAAAATAAAATAATGTCTAATCCTTGTCAACACTACAATTATGAATCAAAAAAAAGTAATTGAACACAAATGAGAAACGTAACTAATGAAATGAAAAAAAGAAATATTTAAAATTAGCGTTGCAATGTTGACTCGCTCAGCTATAAATGCTGGATGCTTCTATTGAAGTACTAGGGCTGATCTTCCCCGAGAACCCTTGGGATCATCCACACGTCAGTAGAAGCAATGGATAGTTAGAAATTATCACATACATGAGTAAAAAATAAAATGAAAGAAAAAATTACGTACGTTTATAAACATGTTATGAAAAATAAAATGTATACAAAACTACAACACAGATTAAAAGAATCATTATTGGAATAACACAAAAAGAATGTGAGCATAATATGTCAACTGTTTGAACTGTTTCGTTTTGAGGTATAATCGCGGAAATCCGCGGTGTTCCAGAAAAAAAAAGGCCTTAACATACTGCTCTCTTCCTACAAATAGATAACAGTGAACGGTTAAACGAAGGTATAATAATAAAAAGAAACTAGCCTTATATCACTAACAGAGTCTTTTTCATACAGATAGTTATAAACTGCGTTATATTGATTTTTGTTTCGCGTCTCGTTTCAACATATTCAAACTATTGTAACTATATGGAACACCACCAGTTTTCCTGATTGTACACCGGTAGAGGTAGAAAGAGATGTATGGATTGCGTGAAAAGTTTTAATTATAAGTAAATGACGGGAAATGTAGTTCTATACAATCGTTAACGTATTAACGTTTTCTACTAAAAAATTAAAAACAAAGAGGCAGTTACATTTGTATAATGGTACTTATTACTTCTTAAATAATATTATCTCTTCTAGTTGTTCTACTACATCTGCGCGTACAGCTTGAACCAGCTGTTGCTGCGCAAGGACCTGTGCTGCTGGGCCAAGGGTCTGCAGATCCGGTACAACATCTCGCATCTAGAGATCTGGATTAAGGAGCATCTCGCAGAGTACGGACAGAAGAGTGTAAGTTATACTCTTAGAGAGTCATTTACTAGTAACACTTTTTCTACATATTTATTTTGTTAAATATACAGGGTGATTCTTAACGGATGGATCAATGGTTTTGTGGAGGTAGAGGACCTCAAGAGAGACCTCATTTAAACGCAAAATTTGTTGCCTGATTTTCTATAGTTTTAAAGTTATTTATTTTGTTTGTTAAAAAATCGGAAAAGTCAGATTTCCGACTTAAATTTGACTGTACGTCCAAAATAATCACTCCGTATAATGTTTGCTTTATTATTATTATAATTCGCAAAAATATGCCTTTAGCAACCATATCCAATTGAATAATCTTAACTTACTAGTAAATACTAAAGTTAAATTGTATGGACGTTTAGACGTATCTCCAGAACAGCTCAACGGAGGTTACTAATATTTTTTTAAAATTTCGCGTAACAGAATTTAAGACAGATATTAATTTCTATTGTATAATTGTAATTAATTGATTGTATGGGTATACACCTGGGTAGGTGGAGGAGATCCTGGGCGTGCTGAAGCCGATCACGCAGGCGGTGCAGCTGCTGCAGGCGCGCAAGTCCATGAGCGACGTCGACAGCACCGTCGACATGTGCGCCGACCTCACCGCCATGCAAGTCTGCAAGGTAACTACGAACTTCACATGCATGGTTTTTACACTTTCTAGCCTAAACTGCTGAACGGATCTCGATGAAATTTGACAAAGATGTAGAGTCTATAGTCTGGAAGAACACATAGACTTTACTTTTTTTTTATCCTATTAGGACGGAGTTGCGGGAGAAAGCTAGTATGTAATACTTCTGAAAAGAATATTATTCTACTAAATATAAAAGTATACTTTCCTCTATGTATAATGGAGTGGTTGGTTTTATATTATCAAGATGGTAAACCCACAAGCGACCACCTGGTTTCTACGAAATAACGAAGCAATCGATGCCCATAGACATCCGTAGTTACAGATGCCTTGCCTTTAATCTATTAAGGAGGATAAAGAAGACGAGAGAATTCTTATCATCCCGTCCAGTCAAATTACTTTCCCTTCCAACCCTATTTGTGAGAAAAGGGTGGGACAAGAAAGTTGACCAAAATTAGTCCTGGTACGAACACTGTATGCGGAATTTGTACCACTTCCTTTATACTTTTTCAGATCCTGAACATGTACACGCCGGCGGAGGAGTACGAGGTGAAGGTGACGAGGGATTTCATCCACGAGATCCAGAAGAAGATGCAGGAGCGCGCCGGACCGAAGACCACAAAGGAACCTGTCAGTATTACAAATAACATCTGTTAGCATATAAAAGAACATAGAAAACTTGTTAGTACTTTTAAAACTACGTAAAACCCGCGTATAGACAAGCGTCTAATCTCTAATAGTAAAATTCGACTGATCGGTTATACTTGAGCGTTTGTAGAGATTTACTAGGACAAAATAGTAATGCAAGATTTACTATTTTATCTGTATTATTGTTAAACTATAGCTTGCATAAGTAAACATTTGTCAGATTGTTTTCGACAAAGCAAAAACTGCAATACATATTTGATAATGAATAAAATTGATTCAACATCCAATTTTCAATCCAAATTGACTATTCTGAAACCGAAAAAAACGATGATTTTGTATTAAAATTGGAAGATTAAATATGGTTCTTCGAGCCGTATTACTTTCTGGATTTGTTATTCCATTCGTATGTAAACGTGTTATTATTTTTTTTCCTATTTCCAGCAAAATCTACTAATGGACACGAAGATGATATACTCAGTCCAGTTTCCATTCAACCCGTCCCCCATCAGGCTGGAAGATATCGAGGTGCCTGAAGTTCTGGAGCTGGACGGACTGCTCACTAAGATATAAATTATTTTACACATATGTAGACCTACAAATGTTGCCATTTATATTATAACTAGCTGTTCCCCGCGACTTTGTCTGCGGATAATTGAAAAGCCCATGTTACTTAATGATAGAGTAGGTTTTTAATGGTGTATGAATTTTTGAAATCGGCCCAGTATTTTTTGAGTTATTTCAATATTTACAGAACTCCAAAAATACTTTTCTCTTTATAATATTAGTATATATTTCGAAGGTATAGACTTACCGAGAATATAAAAATCCATATTGCGGGAAATTATAAAGATTGAAGAACATTTAAAAGTAATAATTTGATTATTTGAATTATATTAAAAATTCTAACTGTTACTTCTTTTACACACTTATATTAAGGGCTTATCCCATCAAATTGTAAATTGTCTGATCCAACGTGTAAAATATGTGATGGAAATATAGGATTCTGTTACCTTATGACAGTGCCGTCATTTTCTTATCTGACAGTGACGTCATTCTAAGCTATCTGAGCCTCTATCAGCTAGTAGTGGGAAAAGCCTTTTTTTTTACTTTCATATTTTTTGATGCTTTTTCACAGCATTTGTAGGTCTATATATTATATTTATTATTTATAAAAGGTACTTACATTCCGATATAACGAAGTCTTGCCCTCAGCATTTGTTATATATTTATATGAAATTCCTTTTATTTGCCATATATCAGTATAGTGTGCCATTATTTATTATGTTGTACAAAGTTATTAACAATAGTTGTTTTGTTATTTGTTGAGATCCAGTGAGAACGGAATTATGAAGTACAAGATGTCATAATAACCAAGAATTAATAAAATATGCTACTAGAGAAAGTACTGTACTTGTTTAAGTTGGCACGTATTGTAGTAGTGTACACTTATTAATGGCGTGCCAACTGAATTACTAGCTACTTCACTTACATAGATGTTTAATGCATAATACTCTATGAATAATATTAATCGAATTCACTTTCTTAAAAAAACTTTCTTCTTTAGTCACTAGCTTTAAAAAATAACTAATTCTTTTCTTTTAATATCTATTTTAATTAATTTATTTTAATAACTCAATTTTTTTAACTCTAGTAGCGATTTTACAACAATTCCTTACACTATTTCGTTTATAAAATAATTACAAATATCTATATATCAAATTCTAATATTTTCCATTGTTGAACATTTGCAAATGTGTACTGCCTCACTAAGCGTAGTTTAATTGTCACTTACCATTTTTAGTGTAGATTTCTCATCAAAATCTACACTTAAGGACAATCTTGGTGATTATTATACAATTCTGAGTGCGGCATTTAAATTAAGCTCTCATTGTTATTAAGTCAATGAAAATATTTAATATTTATGGTTATATTGTTTTAATGAAAAATGTTTTTTTTTTTATTTGGAATAAATAATGTTTAAATCAGATTAGCATCAAAGCTTTATAATATAATATATAATAGAAATATTAAATATTACAACGCTATGTACTTAAAATAGACAAAATACATCGATGGGTGAAAGGCTATATTCAACCGCTAGTTTTGGTAGATATTGACTCATATTTAAATATGAAATTAATAATGAAGTATGCAGAATTATATTAATTTTAATCTAGAAGCGGCTTCATCTTTCGATCGAAATTATTTTCAGAATTTGTTTTTATGCTTTTTTTCTAAAAACTTTAAATGGCTCTCCTGAACATTTAACATAATGGCGCTTAAAACAAATAGCCTTTCACCCTTCGATATAATGCCTAGATTACACTATTTCAGTCCAGCAAACGATACCATAACTGGAATTACAACTTTAAATCAGCAGACTGCAAAATTGTGGTTCTAGTGAAATATATTAATCCAGTTGTAATCCAGCACTGGTATGTTCACAAGATTGAAATAATGTAAACTGGGTATAATAGTAATAGTATGAAATATAATAGTCAAATATTTATGGTTTTATTAAGTTTTTGCCGAAAACTATCTTACTTCCAAAATGAATTATTTTTTTATGTCCTTATATGAGTTTCGGTATTTAAAACTCCAACGTAGTATTTCTTTTATCTTATAATATATGATTTAATATCAGTATTCTGTTTGTATAAATAATGTACTAAAATCTTAAACCAATAGAAATAAGACATCATATGTCATTTTCATTTTTAAAACTTCAGTATTTAGATACAAATACGTCTTCAAGGGCCTGTCCCACCAAATTGTAAATTGTCTGATAACAATCCAACGTAATATATGATGGAAATATCGGTTTTGTTACTTTATCTGACAGTGACGTCATTTTAAGCTATCTGAGCCTCTATCAGCCAGTTGTGGGACTTGCCCTTAATAAGTGAAATTACAGCCTTATTAATTTAGATAGGATTATCTCATTTATAATAAATTTAATTATATTTACGTTCAGAAAATTTGATGATTTTATCTCTATCTGTCTCTGTTCTTTCCAAAGATAATGAAAGAGACGGGAATATGTTACATTTGACAATGTTTCCTATATATCTAGTTGTTACTGTGATTAATGCAGCTACAAATAGCTCATTATAAACGGTGTTATATATATTAAATATACAATTGTTACCATATATCCGGTGCTTTTGAAGCAAAAATATATCAAAACATATTCAAAATATATATGTACTTAATTTTTTAATATTTGTTCCTTTATTTATTCAACGATAGTTACAGATATTGTTATCCTTCTCTTGTCAAAGGTAATGAAAGAGATAGCGTTATACTTTGTCTATAATTCTACGATAATAGTGATATTTGTTATTTTGCGTCCAATTATATTTTTAGTTTTTAAGAATTATATTATGTTCAATAAGAATTATCGACATTTAGGGACTAATTACATAAATAAATAAAAAATATATGTCAATATAATATACATGTTAAAAGAAAATATAGCAAAATATATAGCGCGTTGAAAACTTGGTACTAATGGTAATCAAATATAAAGTAGGTGCTCAAGCTATCTTGTTGATATATCTATATAATTTAAATATAAATTAAATATATCGAAAGCTGTTAAATCTTTAAAAAAATTCTAAGGCATTTTCGCGCCCTTTTAAATTATGAATATTATTTCTTAAAGAAACTATTAATGCTTCCTTGAGATGCACTTAAGAGTATTTTATAAAATTTGGCTGTAAGCATAAAATTATGAAGTCAAATTATAGTATACTTCATTTCAAATATCTTGGCTGCTCAATGTCACTCCGCGCTGCAATCTTGCATTTTTTAAGCTACATCATGCATTTTGTCACTCGTGCTATTCCGAGCTGACAAGATATTTGACAAATACTACACCAAATATTTGATTTGGCACGTCGGTAGCAAGAGTACTCTTCTGATCGACGTGCCAACTTAATATAGCTAAATTTATATGTATGTTTATTACATTCCATTGTTATGCATTTATAGAAAATTATAATTAGTGAAAAAACACGATTTTTATTGAATAAAAACATTTATAAGTTTAAATTGTATCACGTTTTTAATAATTATATTTTTAAAAGATGATTTAAATATTATAATTTGTGCTTTTTTAGATAATATATGTATTATTCTATTTATATTTGTTATTTGGATGTTTTACGCTATTTCAGATAACTCACTCATATTGTGGTTATGTAAATGAATCACAGAATTCTTTGTTATAAAGAAAATTTCTATTATCTGTGTTCTATTTTTTCTAAAAAAAAACACTATCAAATATTTATGTGCTATCCTTTGGATATATCGAATTTTATTGTAATTTTTATTTGAAGTTTATTTTAAATACATATTTATTTGAAAAAACTAACTAGTTACATTATTTTATTGGAATTTTAATATAAAAATGTTATACATTTTAAAAGCAATAATTTGCATATCCTTTCAATGTTACTTATAAGACATTCCATATTTTTTCGCTTTAAATAAATTACATTAAGTAAAAAATCAAATATAAAAAATATTCCTGTGTTAGTGTTGCAAGTTATTTATTAGTTAATATTTTAGATATGTAATATTTTACTCTTTCTGTATGTTTGTAATTTTTTGATACTTATGACTTAAAGAATTCATCGAAGTAGATTTGAAATAGCTTAATTAGTTTTATTTTACCGAAATATTCTTAGGAGAATTGATTTTTATTAGTTAATGTATCCCTTCCATGTTAGTTTTGAGGTTAGGTATATGATCAATTGTCAAATGAAATTCGTTTGAAAGACGTTGTTAAAACCAAACCTCAAGCCTTTGTGTCATGTTTTTGTTGAAAATTAAATGTTTGTAATTAAATCAATAAATGAATATAGCAGTTGACCTTATTTCGTGTTTTATTTTCACCAGATTTAATGGCGGCAAATCTCGGAAGCATCCACATTTTGCGTAACGGAAATCCAGATTCAAAATCTCATTTTTACCATAGACTATTAATATAGTTTTCTTAAAAAACGTGATTTTTAAACATTTCCTATAAAACATTTATTTTGAACACAATATAATTTCACAACTTTCTCAAAAAATAAAATGGCCGCGAATCGTGAAGGTAAACGATCTTCTATTTTATTTAATTAAGGCTTCACATGACCGAAGATTGGGAGTCATTAATTGAAACCGTGTTATCAATTTAATTTGGGATGCAGCAAAATACGAATAAATAAGTAAAAGAGGTGTTTACCCGCTACGTGGTATGTAATTAGGTTGTCAAACAACCTTCAACAAAAACCCAGTACACCGCACCGACCGACTGTGGATAGACGTTACGATTTCGCGCCTTTTTACGTGTCACTAATACTTGAAATAAAAAAAAAACAATGTTGTGATGAAAATTTGATTTAATTAAATATTTTAAAGGTTAGTAAAATTGATTTAGTATTCTATAGAAGTGTAAGCCCTTTTTAATTTATTTTGAACGTATCTTCTTATTTTTAAAGTTAAGATTCTTTATAAATTTATCACGATAGGTAAATTTTGGTCCAGTTAGTTTCACATTTAGTTCGAACCAATGACTCAGAAAAAACAAGTCAAAGTAATAAACCCGCTCCATTTATGTTGCGGTGAAAGTGATGGTTTAGCCACAACCGATAATGTCCGCATTGCTCTCTTTGACATGCATGACCTTGTATTCATTAAAAATACTCGTATTTGATAAAAAAAAAAAAACCAGTTACATGTATAAAAACAAATTTTAATTACAAGGAATAATAAAAAACCTACAAAGAGGCCCCCTCTTTAGAAATTTGATATGCTATATACGATGCTAACAATTTTTTTAAGAATATTAAAAAGTTCTACCAAATTTGAAATGAAATGAAATGAAAATGAAAATGAAATGAAAATGAAAAAATATTTATTAAACCAAAAAGATTGTACAAAACAAATAACTTTGACAATACCTTACAATTATACATAACAGGAAGTTAAAAATAGTCGTTATTTTAAGTTATTCTAGCTAAGCTTATCTGGTGATGGCCACACTAGGCAATGCCTGTATCGTGGCCACCGGAATTCACAGATACAATATTATCTGACCACAAAATTACATAAACCCACTCTCACGGCAGTGTTTTAGTATTTAATTATAAGTTAATCAAGTTTAAAATTTACTGTTATTAAAATGTAATTGGGAAAAAAAAAATATATAAATATATATAGTTTTGTAAATAACAAGAAAGGGAATAAAACTCAGTAAATAATTGTGTAAATATATATATGATAATAGATAATATATAAATGTATCAAAGTATCACAATCTAAAGTTATCCACGGTACTCAATAAGGTTATGATTTAATCTTAAGAAGGTTTTCTGTATCAGTGTAGTTTAAAGTAAGCAGCCAATCCAGTAAGATGGA